CACATTATCAGTGTTGCAACTCATTAGGGTAAAACTGAGAAATGTGCTCAAAGCCAGCCCAAGCAAGGTGGCATTACAAAACAAAGGGCTAATTTGGAGACCCTGCTGTGAACAATCTGTAACAGAATTAGCCTTTTTTTCCCCTAAACTGCAGAGCTAAGTAACGAAATGTGACAGACTGAGAGAAGCAGTTTATTAAGACACCAACTCCAAGTTTATTTAGTTCATAAACTCTCTCCTAGAAAATCAATACAGTCTGTACAGGGTTATTAGGCTGACTAGCTAATACATCCAAATCTGGTCTTCCCAAGCAGAAATCTTGGCCAGAATGCTACAACCTTACAAGAAATCTAAGCTCATTCGGATCACTGTATCAAAGGAGGACTATCATTTAATTGTCAAATGTGTGACTTCTACATCCCAGCTTCAGAACGTTTTCAAAAAGATATATTCCCCCCCCCCCCCCCCCCCCCCCCCCCCCATCCCCACTAACATGACAGAGAAGAAACAAAATTTAGTCTGTCAGTCCCAGTCCAGCTCAGGTCATCCTTAAATTTAGTGTCTCTACTGCATCTTGCTTGGCAAAATAATGCCAGCACAGAAAAAAACAAAACAAGAAATACTGAATTCAAGAAAACAAGAAATCCCTGAATTTCAAACAGGGATATGAAAAGTAGCAGCCAATAAGGAGATAAAAGTAACCAAGCAGGAAAAATACAACAGAAGCCAACCTCCTCAAGTAGCAGTTTAAGCCTCACCTAACTGTACAGAAATGAGTTTGGGGATTGGGGTGAAAAGGGGGAAAGGAGGGAGGGTAGAAAAAAAAACAAGGAGAGGAGAGGAGAGGAAAAAAAAAAAAAAAGCAAACCCCACAACTTTAGTATACAAACCCCACAACTTTAGTATACAAGTCTGGCACAAACTAAGCATTTTCTCTCCTCTTTGGCTAGCTCAAATGAGAATCTGAAACACTATAGTCAAGGTAAGGGCTCTAAAAGAATTTGAAAAAATCCTTTCAAAATCATTTTAAAAAACCTCATTTTCAATAGATTTTTAATCAGGGAGTATGTTCTGCAAGTATTTTACTGCTATCCAATGGCATTTGTGCTGACAGATAAAAGGATCTGTGAAATTATTTTACATTTTCACCTCCTGGGAATATCCAGATGCTGAATAGAAGAGGTGCCTACAGAATCCAGCTTCTAATGGAACTTAAAACAGAGTGCAGTTGTCTGCTTGTGTTTTTTGAAAATGTTACATGCTTTGTGGACTATATGTAGTGTTAAGGGTATTTTATTCTTTTCCTTTTAAATAATACTTATTACTTACTTTCAAAGACAATTACATTATCTGCACGACTTTCTGAATCGTTTAAAAATATAATTTGTTGATTTCATCTCTCCTCTGAAAACTACTGATACAGAAGTGCACCATATGGCAAAAAAGGATAGGAAAGGTGATTACAGAAAATCCAGGTGATGCCAAGAAGAAAATCTAGCGAGCAGAATATGCGATATAATGTAAATGTATCCTACTTTTTTCTAATTTCCATTACTCTGACAGTTTAAGTGTTAATTAGTTCAGTCAAAGGGTTAATGCAAATAGTTCAAAATGACTAAACATTGAAAAAATATTTTCTTCTTTTTGTTCCAATTACTCTGTATTATTAATTAAGCTGTTAAAACATGCAACAGTTACTATCTCCTTAATGTTCAATAATATGTAAACTCTTTAAAGAGATTTTTGTTCCACGACTCTGCTTTAGATATTAATCAAGAAAATAATTACAGAGGAATTTAGTAAAAAAAATCTACATGCATATAACTATGTACTGTACATGTACGTTCAACGAGGTCCAATTAGTTGGAAAGAATTTGCATTTCAGTTAGTATGAGCTAACAAGACTGTAGGGAGACAATGTGATTCTACTCGCAGGGCAAGAAAGAATGGTGTTTTTCTGTAAGCATTAATTCCCATAACTGATCATTTTAAAATGTTACTGATCTTTACAGTATTTGTTTTTCAAACATCTAGGAGTTCAGTATAAATGTTTATATTAACTGTACATGAAGCAGTGTCCCTGAGACGACTCCTGGGGAAAAAAAAAGATAAAACACTGAGCAGAGATTTATTATTTCTCTTCATTTAGTTTTTGCATATCTATTTAAAGATAAAGAGCAATCGATTATTCTAAAGGAGAGGTCCTTATATTTGATGTTCATTCACCGGATTCATCAAAGTCACGGGGAGAAGATTCAGAAAACTTTGTCGTTTTATACAAATGTACCAATCTTCAATAATAATGATAGATACACACACCATACACAGTTACTGAACTTCTCTCCTAAGTGTCTCCACCCTCAACCAGTTTACTGTCTAGTACCTGTAACTCCCAGAGTTCATTTGGCTGCAGATATTAACAGTTTCTCTAATTTGTAATGACAGCAAACTGGCCTTTGCTCTTCCCACATTCACTATTCATTTCTAGGCTTGGTTAAGTAGATAGCTGGGTTAAAGATCAGTGGTTTTTCATGTGACACATTCTGCTATTCATCTAACAGCTCGTCAGGACAAAACTGTCCCTGTTCTTGCCAAAATAATGAAAATGGTCCTCTACATCGCATGACAATCAGCCCTTGCTTGTGCTGAAACAACTGAGCTTATATAGTTGGGTTGTTTTAAAGACATTTTGGAGCTGACTATTCCACACTGCCTCCAAAAAAGTACATATTTGACCAAGTATGAAATAATTCTTCTCCTTACAATAATGTGTAAGCAGAGACTGTAACAATCACATTAAATACTTTATCCATGGATAACAATGAAGTTGTGAATTGTGTCCTATCAGGAATATTATCTCATACTTGAAAATTATGCAAAGCCATCTTGATGTTCATATTCAAAGAAGTGGTGAATCACCCGTGGTAATGTCATTCTTTATCAACTCCTTCTCCCTAAGAATTATATAAGGGACTCACTCTGCAACATCTGTTCGACTCTATGAAATGTTAAC